CATATATATATATACTTTTAAATACTTATGTCAATTATCAACTAAAAGCATCTACCAAAAACTAAGCATGTATCCATTATTTAGTGTATGTATTATAAGTCAAAACGATCATTATTGCCATCTTTCGGATTTAAGTAGAATCAATAGATGTGGTCGCAGAAAAACGTACAACACGTTAAATATCTTATACATTAACGTAGACTTACTGCACACATATACATGTATAAACAACGTTAAAGATCTTATACATTAACGTAGACTTACTGCACACATATACATTTATAAACAACGTTAAAGATCTTATACATTAACGTAGACTTATTGCACACATATACATGTATAAACAATGTTGGTCATACATTGTTTCGGGCGAATGCTTTTTTGCAGATAAATGTAACAAACGTATAAAACATCTGAGCAGTTTCAAGTTTATTGTCGACACTAAATCTAACGGACGACACATCCACACTCTTGTGTGGATTTCACATTTGCATGCGCATCTATTACTAGGGTACATTTTATCCTTTCCACACTGCGATTTATACCTTAGTTTTTGTTTATATTTTATGTTCGACGCTTTCTTTGTTGTTGTTGTCTGAAAAGTTGTTTTAAAACATAATCGAATGAGTTGCTTTTACGTTTTCTCTCTCTCTCTTTAGATGTCAAAATGTTGTCTTTGCACATATATCTATATACAATATACATATAAGTAATTTCCCCGAAAGGGGGCCGAAGATCGCCTGGAAGGGCCACCTGTGTTAACCCCTCGCACTCTTATACAGTAGCGTGTTGTCTGTCAGTCACTCACTAGACACTGAAATGACGGCACATAAGGGACGCTTAACGTTGCAATTTGTACTGTCGTGATATCAGTAAAACGTGTGCATGACATGAATCACGGGAATAATTATGCACTCTGTAGGCTACAACACAGCCTGAAATATTAACTTCAAAAGCAACAAATAAAAAAAAAAGTTACACACACCTGCATTGCGCATTTTAGGTGTAACTGCAGTTTCCTTTGTTTTTAATGGTTTAATAACCAGAGTTTGATTCCCATTTTAAGCATACAGTCCACTATAACGTTCCTATTTGTGCATGACGTATTGATTTTAAGAAGGCTTGTATTTAGTAATTAAAAAAGCTGGCTATTGTCAGTTTAAATCTTTTATTCATGAGATATGTAATTTAAAACATGCAAAATAGTTTTAAACTTGGAATCGGCTATATAGGTTTCAAACGCATTCTCTTATATTTATATTCATAAAACTTAAATCATAAATTATGTTGTAGAAAATGTTATAATCTTAGAAAATATATGTTTTGACGTAACATCACTGTTTAGTAATTTATACGAAATGCTTGTTTATAAAAGTCTCTTTTCAGATTTATTTAGACAAATAACGAAAGTAAATGGAAACAGATACTTAGTTGAAGTTAAGTCTTTGCTTTAGATTTTGATTAGATTAGAATATAGCGCAGATAGCCCATTGTGAAGCTTTGCGCTGAAGCAGAAGGAACAAATGTTTTTAGGTTGAAAATTAGTAAGAAAGTTTTCTTTGCATTTTTCGCTGTTACGCTCATAGCATGTTACTTTTCCTAGGCTTGTGACTTAAAAACTTTGAAAGTTATGTCGTTTTAATACTTACACGTCTACTTTATCAGTTAATTTGATTTGTTTCATATTTTATTTAAAATATTAATTTTAGATCGCATATGAGCTGGCTGAAAATGAAATTCGTTTAAGACGGAGGATATTGGAGCACGACCTGCTGCCATTATTATGAGCTGATTAGACTAAGCCAATTTTAACCCATCTAAGGAAGAGCACAAACAGAGCTTCGAGCATTTTTTTTATTTGCCCTGGTGCGAAAAGATTGTACTTAGCACGAGTTCTGGTACTGCGTAAAATGGGTTGTTTTGTTATTGGCTCGAGGAGTATAAGACATATAAAACAACAACCTGTTTTTAAAGTGATAAAAAATGTGAAAAGGATCACGAGAATTCTGAAGAATATATCAGATATGCTCACCATTTCCCTTCTTAGGTTTAATTGAAAACACTAGTGTTTTCAATTAACCTTGTGGTGCTCGCGAAGAATCTGTGAAGCGAAATGTGGAGTAAATTTAATATTTTCTTCCAAAGTCTGAAAATGATTTTCATACTGCTTATTGTTCTGTCTACACTTCAGTTAACACTATAGATCAATTAAACAATGAGCAACTGTGCTTCTTATTTCAAACTATATTCTACGATGAACATAACAGAAGTGTTATAACTGTAAAAGTTAGGTAGCTTTAAAAACCTGTTTCGTTACGAAAGAGTACCAAAGTGAATATATAATAAATCTACACTAATGTTTTTTAAAGCTTTTTGGATGGGGAAACAAATGATATTTCTTCTAAGAATCAAAACATGAAAAACTTAGTGTGATGTTTATTACTACTTAAATGATAAACTTTACACTAAGTTTTATTACTTCTCAAATGCTGAACTTCGTGTACAAAAAGTTTAATTTACTGACGACAACATTTAGATCCTTTTATTTAGTTTAAAAAAATAACAACAACAAAACAACGCGTTTTGTGTAAAATTCAGACATATCTATATATATTATTTTAGTAATGCGTAAGACACTAGATGTATATGCAACTGACAGGTAGTGTGCCAAATTGTAAGACAACATCAGTTATAAGTACGAATTTGATGTAACTGATGTTCGTAACTGCGACATATTGTATCTCTTTCATTTTGCAAAACAATTAAAATTACCTCTACATTTTTTTTTCACACAAGCAAGAACATTGTTATGTTTGGAAGGGTAAACAGGATTTTGTTTTATAAGTAATTCATTCTTATGTGCTGCAAAGAATTTATTAAAAGTCATATAGCAACTGCTATATTACACCAAACTACTTCGTCAGCCTTTTCACACACACACACATAAATAATTTGTTAATTGAGTACTCTCAGCTTTGTATTGGATTTATCAATTCTTCATTTCTTTTTCTTAACAATGTGTGTACCAACATGTTTCAGTATATTATGCCACCCAGTGACACAGCGGTATGTCTGCGGACTTACAACGCTAGAAACCGGGTTTCGATACCCGTGGTGGGCAGAGCACAGATAGCCCTTGTGTAGCTTTGTGCATAATTAAAAACAAACAAACAAACTTAACAATGTGTGGATATGAATATTAAAAAAAGAAAGAATAACAAAAGTGTATATTTTTTTACATAAAAAGTGATATCATTTAGTGAAAATAATGTTTGTTGTTAAACACATGGCTGCACAATATTCTATCAAACTTTTTCCAGTTGCTTGCATATTTAATTTAATGAAACTTAAACATAAGCTATTGTTGCTTCACTTTTAGCACAAAGCTAAACAATGTGCTATCAGTGCTCTGGTCACCGCGGGGAATCGAACCCCAGATTTTAGCATTGTAAGCCCGTAACCTTACCACTGATCCTCCGGGGGATTTGAATATAGTGTTTTTTATTCGTTTATTGTTCAGTACAAAGCTTTATAATGGGCTGTCTGTTTTCTACCCACCACAGATATCGAAATCCAACTTTTTAGCGTTATAAGCCCTCAGGCTTACTAATGAGCCACCTGTGGACTTGAATATAAGTATTGTCCTAATAAACAATATTAGCATTTAGACAAAACTTAAAATAATCTTAATAGTTCAGTCAGATAGAATAGTTTCCTTCATAATATGAAATAAAAAGTCTGCGAATACGATATGAGAACTCAAATAAATATTACATTATGTCTGCTTTCTGGAAGAAAATAGGCCTGACCTTTGTCTTAAGTTTCAATGTGTAGACAAGCAAGTAATTTGAAAAATATGAGATGTCTCCTCATTGTGATTTTCCTTGACTTCCTTTTATTTGTTCACTTCAATCAAATGTGCACAATGCTAAACTGCAAAGCTGTTCCTAATTTTTTTAATTGTGAACCAGAGGGAGACAATTAGTCGGCAGCACCCGCTTCTTAATCAAATAGTGGGATTGGCTGTCACTCTTATAACGCGCACACAGCTGATAATGCGAAGCGTGTTTGGTTGTACCATGTCTCTATCCATAGACTTTTGTATCCTCAATGCGCTGTGCCAACCACTTAAACACGTTTTTGAAGTATAGAACCAATGAAGTCCTGATTTATACCTTATAGTTCGAAATGTATCATAAATATTCGTGATTTTTTTTCAGAAATATGGAAACATCAAGCGTAGAAATTAATATGGACTATATGTGGTTTTATACAAGAACGCAGGATACAGATAACTTAATTTACACCGTACAGTTTCTTTAAGTTATAGTTTTATATCCAACAACATTTATTGTATTTTATAGAGATCGACAACTTTTATTTTTCAACTTGAAGTTGAGAAAATCTAGATTTAATGAAGTAGAAACTTTAGCTGTCCGGATATAAGATGGTATATTCAAATACAATACGTAGAGGCTTTTGTCTAGGTTGTAAACAATATTATTCGCTGTCCTAGAAGCCTATTAAATTCAAGCTCCTTTTCATAGTAACTTTTCTGTTAATTCACACATTTCAGATACACTGGATTAGTATTACAAATGTAAAAACAATTGCATGGGAAGAAGCGACGTTTGTAATCTACATAGAAAATTGAATGGCAGTTTAGAATCTGGTAATGTTCCTAACGCTCATAGGATGGGTCGTTCTAGTGTCCAAATATAGGGCGCACGTATCCCAGACCAGAGAATAGGTAACATTATAACCTAGTTACGAAAAACTAATTGCGCTCCGTTGTGTGAAAGGGGAGTGTTATTGGAAGTGTAAGGCCAAATGAAATTTTTAAGTATTGTCACGTGAGGTTTAAATACGTGCTTTCCTTGATAGGACGATACATCTAGTTTGAAAAATGTTTCGACAGCTAGAGTTCTCTGTATGTTAGTGCCCGCCCCCTGCCGGACTTTAAAAACACCGGCGCATCACGAAATACGCAGTACCAAAGAGGAATTTTCTATATTGTTTTGAATACTTCCTGCAGTTAGTTAGCGTGACTTGATTCTCCCGAGAAGCCACTGCTACTTACTAGGTGAGATATTGCCCAGTTATTAGATTAGCCTTAGAGCCGATTTTTCAAGATTTGCCCTACTTGGCAGTATGACTTCAGGAACCATTAAGAATGATGTAATGCTAACTCGGAAAATATAGTGATATAGACGTTGGAATATTTTAAATTGTGGTAATTTATGGCTTTTAAAATATTGTTATTTTAAACGAAGATGCAAACACAATCCTTATAGAGTAAAATGTTTTGTTACAATTAAACTCCCAGTGAGGTTTCTCTCACAATCCTACACAGTAATGAAGTTTAGACTGTTTATAGTTTAGTATATGGATTTAGATTAACTTAAACATACTTCACGAGGTATTGTTGGGATCACACCAAAAAATATCATTAACAACGAGAGTACTCAACTGATAAAAAATGAATTATAATCTAATATTATATGTAAGGCCCCAAGAGCTGTATATTTAATTATATATATTCGTTACTGGATTGATTTTTAGTTCTGATCTCTGTAGATAGCTTGTTTCGATCAAAAGTTAATATTAATCATATATTATTATTAGGAAAATATTAAATGAAAATTTTGTAACTGTATTCTCGTTTACCTGTATGGAAACACACACACACACACACAAAATAAAAACGTGTACCTTGTCATACGACTTATTAGAAACATATAAAAATATATATTTGACCTTTTTTTATGCCTTCAAAATATTTTTTCCTATTTTCTCCACCAGAATGAAGCCTCGGACATCACCATTTATCGAATCTTTACCGCTGGTAATGTTAATAGCTCCTGCGTTGTTTTTTGTCCAGGCCTGTCCATTCACAGGTCCTTCTCACACTATGTGTATCTACAAGCCAATGGCGTGTCCGGGAAAGAAACTTCTTCGTAAGTGTATTAACCGCAATCTCAACATTGTATTATTACAGTTTTTAGAGGGAAACATATGTATAGGATCTAAGTTCATGTTCTTAGATTTATATTTTCCTTTTTATTCTAAATCGCAATTTTAATATTGTCTTATTGTAATCTTTAGAGGGAAGACATGTATAGAAAATCTGAGCTCATGTTCTCAGATTTATATTTTCCCTTTTACTCAACCACAATCTTAATATTGTTTTATTAAAATCTTTAGAGGGAAAACATGCGTAAAAAATCTGAGTTCATGTTCTACTTGACTTTTTATTTTATTTTTTCGTTATGATTGTTTAACTGGCCTCCATTTTAAGGTTTTATCAGTGATGAAATTCTCCTTAAAAAAGTGCAGGTACTCACCTTTGCCAGGTTCTGGTCTCGTAGTGTATGGAGTATCAAGTTCTCTGCGATTTAAAAGTATCTCTTCGTGCACTACTCAAATTCAACTTCCACGAAATACAAAAAAAAAAAAAAGAACGAAATTCAGTAGTGGCTTCCAAAAAACAACCGTTACTACCATTGGAATCTAATAGAGAGCCATCACTGAGTTTCGGTGAGTACCAGCAACATTTCACCCCTGAATGTAACCCTATAACATTGAGAACGCTGCCGTTTGCTAACTTTATGCTTATTATTGTGTGATTGAACTAAAGGGTTGGAACGTGACTTAGTTTTTATCGGTTTAAAGAGTTGGAACGTGACTTAGTTTTTATCGGTTTAAAGGGTTGGAACGTAAATTAGTTTTTATCGGTTTAAAGGGTTAGAACGTGACTTAGTTTTGTCAGTTTAAAGGGTTTGAACGTGAATTAGTTTTTATCAACTTAAAGGGTTGGAACGTGAATTAGTTTTTATCAACTTAAAGGGTTTGAACGTGAATTAGTTTTTATCAACTTAAAGGGTTGGATCGTGAATTAGTTTTTATCAACTTAAAGGGTTGGAACGTAACTTAGTTTTTATCAATTTAAGACAAATACTCTCATAAAAATGTGAACATAATTAAATAAGTAGTTTTTTCACGTGGATAATGAAAAGGTAGTTAGAAGACATTTTATATGTTAGAAAAATATTAGTCTAATTCTACTGAAAGTTGTTGTAGCCTAATAACCTGCTAAGAGTATGAACTTATAGGAACTTGATCTAATATATATATATATACGATTACTTTATATTGCAAACTTTTGGAACTTTTAGAAAAATGTTCGATTTGGGAATAAAAAATTAGAACAGCTGTTTTTTTTAATCGAACAAAAATCTGTTGTTTATATTTGTAATAGCTTACAGACATTGATGGCTGTAATTAACGATAAATCTCTGATAAAATGCTGTATCAGTTTAAAATATATTAAGCTTTTAATAAACGAAAGCGTTTTATTAAAATAGGATGTATTTTTTATAATGACCAAAAGAGAGCAACTACGAATTTCACCTCCTATATCAAGATTTTTTATATCGTATATTTTGAAACTGTGTTGTTCCATTAGAGTTTAAAGAGGAAGTGTAAATCGTATTAATGTACAGAACAAGCTCTTCTCAATTCGAAATTGTTCAATTTCATTTTTTGAGCACTAAATATTTTATGAGTTAGAGCAACAGGTCATGACATCACTCTCAAACTGAATTAGGTGCCTAGTTGTGTTTTTCTTCTTGTTTTTCTCTTTCGGGGATTCCCCTTGGATGATTGAAAGAGTCTGACGAGTAACAAGACACATTTTCTCAAAAGAATCCGCCCGGTTGTAAAAAGGTTAAAAACAATGAATATTTGATGAGTCAAAGCAATAGGTATTATTTTCTAATACAAATTAGAGAAGTGCAAAATATTATGATTTATTAAAATAAAGATGGTCTCATTAAAATAGTGATCTAAAAGTGTTGATTTAAATTGAATTATTGGTTGCATAGACAAATGGAAAAAAATGACTGATATATAAACGTTTCAGATTTAGAAAACACATTATAGCGACTAATATTAAAATTAATAAATACCAGTGAATATAAAATTATTCCTCGCTTATCCTGTTAAAGAAAATAATTAAGTAATTTTACATTTTAAGCAGGAATATAAACTTAAATAACAGTTAT